ACAAGGTAATACTAGATATAGTTAGATTAGGAGGCAGAAGAAACAAGACCAGGTAAAACATGTGAGTGGGACATATGCGTACGATTTACAGAAGACAGTACCCTTGACATTTGGGATACTGCATTAAGTTCGGTAGGTATCCTTGTCTGTATAGCAGTTTAATGTATGCCATGATCGCAAGTGGTTGCCAAGATAACTGCATGCAGACATGTGGTGGACATGTACTTAGATGCCATAAGGGTAACCAGGTGAAGTCAGTGATGTTAAATTAGATAGTATATAGTACTAGTAATAATCGGTCCTAAAATGTAACCATAAATTTGTACTATAGCAAATTAAAGCTAATAAAAAACTAATTGACATTGTCATCAAAAAAAAAATAAAAATAAAAAAAAAATAAAATAAACAACAATTTATATAAGATCTAGATTTTTTTCAAACTGAAAATATTTCAGTATTTCTATTTATTAAAAATCGAATTAAACAATTAGAAAGTGTAATTAATATGAAAAAATTATTAACAATTTTAGTTCAACTTATACTTAAAATATTTTTTAAACTTAATACAAAACCTGTTTTATTTTTTCTTTTATTTCATTCTGTATATTAAGCTGCCTGTAATAAATTTTCTAAACATATTAGTAATTATCTCACACATTCTTTATTTCAAAAAACCTGTATTTTTGACTTTCAGTTTATTTTACTTTTTACTATTAGTTATAATATTACATCATATTCTTATATCTAAGAATTAGCAAATCCTTCAGTTGATTTAGTTCAAGAATGAACAGTTTATTATAATTTCAATCTTGTTATGATCAAAATTTATACTTTAGATGAGTTTTGAAATAAGGTTTCTTATCAATTACCTTTGTTAAGTGAAATTGCTTTTGATTATATTTGACTTCCTATTTCATCTTAGCAAAAATCACTTCGTGCTCTTACTACTATGTATTACAATCGATAATCATTATGTTGTAACTAATAAGAGATAAAGAAAAAAAAAATTTTTTTTTGAGGTTCTAATAACATTACACTTAATTCTACATTTTGATTAGAGCAAATCGATATAAATAAATCAATATTTTTGACCAAATCGATAGATATTTTTTGTCAAAACATCACGAGTTTCTATTGTCTGCACCCCAGACTATCTCGATCAGTGACATACATTCTATCCAATGAAAAATTGGTCTAACGATAACCGGGCACAGATTCAAAATTCCACAAGTTTAAATTTTGATTGGTTAAAAAAAACTTTTTTTTTTTGATTAAACCATTTGAAATCTAATGATAAATTTATTTTTTCAAATTTCTGATGGTTCATAAGAGTAAGAATTCTAAACTTTAAAGACAAAAAGTTAATTTAATCTAACATTGATAATGTCTCGAACCTCTTATAGAAACTCAAAGCAAGCGCATGACTTGCGCAAAGCGTTATAAAATTGCGCGAAAAGTCGCAGAGCACCGACGAAAAAAGAGGAAAGAAGCCAAAAAAAATCCTCAGTCAAATAGTATGTTTTTTGAGTTTTGATGGATTTTCTGTAGTTGTCGTCGAAATCTAAAACTGTTCTAGAATATCTGCCTTCTAAATCTCAAACATTGAAAAACTTATATCTCAAACATTTTATTTATAATCTTTATTCTAACAAATAATATTTCATTCTTATAGTTAGTTATAATATATTGCAAAATTTCAATCTCATTTTTTTTCCTTGGTTCAATGTTTATGAACAATTATTTTTTGGGGGTTTGGGATTTTGCCGGTGAATATAAGTTTCTCTATTAATATCACTATTAATTTGCATTTTTAGGACTGAAAAAAGATCCAGGTATACCAAATTTATGGCCATTTAAGAATCAACTTTTGAATGAAATCGATCAACAAAAACGGAAGGTAATTCATTATTTTTATTAATAAAAGTAATCCATAAAATTGTATTAAATATGTACATTTTGTTATTTAGATTGAAGATGAAAAACAGCGCCAAAAGAAAGCCCGAAACACTCTATTCAATAAGAATCGTAATCTCAATTTTTCATCGCTCGCTGAAGACGCATCAAAGCGTGATGTAGCTTTTGAAAGTGATCCTAACAATGCCAATGAAGTTGAAGATGAGACTTCTACAGCAATAGACGCTGTAGCTATTGGTCACAAAGATAATTCACACAAAGCATATTATAAAGAATTCCAAAAGGTCATTGAAGCTGCTGATGTTATATTGGAAATTTTGGATGCTCGTGATCCATTAGGATACAGGACCAAGCAGATTGAAAAGATGATTGATGATAGTGGATCTATGAAGAAGATAGTTTTGGTCCTAAATAAAATTGGTTAGGCAAACGTCAAATTTTCTGGATAAATGGCATATTATTATTTGATGCATACTAACAATAAATTTGAATTGTTTATCGGTTAGATCTTGTCCCCAGAGAAAATATCATGCAATGGCTCGAATATTTACGTAAAGAATATCCTACTGTCGCTTTCAGATCTTCAACGCAAACACAGCGCAATAGTCTTGGTCACGCATCTACATCAACAATATCAGACAATAATATACAGCACGGTAGCGAATGTTTAGGTGCAGACGCTTTGATTAACCTACTTAAAAATTACTCTCGTAGTTATAATATTAAAACTTCAATCGTTGTCGGAGTAATTGGTTATCCTAATGTTGGAAAATCATCTGTGATTAACTCTTTGAAACGATCTAAGGTATGTGGTGTTGGTGCCACACCAGGTTTAACGAAACATGCACAAGAAATTCATTTAGACAAAAACATAAAATTATTGGATTCCCCGGGAATTGTGTTCGCTCGTAATCAAGGGGATGATAAATATTCCGAAATTTTATTAAAGAATTGCGTTAAAATCGAACTATCGGATGACCCAATTTCACCTGGTCAGTAATATATCACCCGCAATAACTATTTGTGGTTTTCATAGTTCTTCATTATCATGTTAAATAACAGCAATTTTTTCATTCGTTCTTAGTTGAGTTGATCGTCTCTCGGTGCTCACCACAACAACTCATGAACAAATATAATGTTCCTATGTTCAAAGACGCTAATGATTTCCTTATACATGTTGCTCGTCAAAGAGGAAAATTGAAACGTGGCGGAATTCCCGATGTTGAGGCAACAGCGAGGGTTGTTTTACAAGATTGGAATTCTGGAAAGATATCTTATTACACTATGCCACCTACTTCAACCGAAGATCCCATAGCAGTTGATAGTAAAATTGTACAGTGGTCAGAAGTAGATCAACCGGAATTTAATATATAAAACGAAGGTCTAAATTAGTGATTAGTAATTTCGTAAAATATACCACATGGGAATAAATATACACAGAATTTGTGAATTTGTATAGTGCTTGAACTTTATTTACTGATTGTTTAAGGTTTCAACCTAATAAGAAATATTACATTGCTCTTAGGAGTTTAAATTTGTTGTTATTGTGGTAAATTAGGGTAGGTGGTGTAAAAGATTTTTTTGGGCATTCCTCGGCCCAATACATGGTACTTTGGTATGCTTTCATATGAAGATAATATCTATTATAATTTACAATTGTTATTATCTGGAGCGGAGCGACGGAATCATGCTTTGATGACCAAAATTACGTTTTTGATAAATTTATAGTAAAAATACCAAAAACGTAGTTTTGGATGTAACGCCCCTGAGAAATTTGATCTATGACATATTTTTTACAAGGGGATCACCGAATTTCCGGGCATTTAGCAACTATTTCTGGCCCAAAATTATCAGCTGGGCAGCATTACCTAATGAGTGGCCATGATTTCACTTTTAGCGTTAGTGATCCTGAGCAAACTAGTTAATTCTGGCCCTGCCGAACATGATTCCGAGGTATTCTGACCCGGAAATTTGGATTTTTACAGAGAGATCGCCAAATTTCCGGGTCGGATCCATAGGATTTAGGCAATACAGGTCAACCATTTTTGGCCCAAAATTATCAGCTGGGCAGCTTTACTTAATGAGTGGGCCATGACTTCATTAGTAAAACTTTGGGTATTCTTGGGCAAAATTAGTCAATTCCGGCCCTGCCAAAACAGGAGGAACCGTCGATGTTATACTAATGATTTTTCACCCGGTGTGCAGCATATAAAAAAATCATTTCACAATACCAGATCATTCCGCTAGTACATGTTATAATTATAATCCCACACCATTTTTATTATAATAAAATGGTGTGGGATTATAATCATAACATGTACTAGCGGAATGATCTGGTATTGTAAAATGATTTTTTTATATGCTGCACACCGGGTGAAAAATCATTAGTATAACATCGACGGTTCCTCCTGTTCCCTGCCAATCATGCTTCCGAGGTATTCCGACCCGGAATTTTGAGTTCCCTGTATGAGTTTTACGGGACTTTCGGGAGCTGGTAGATGTTATTGTTTGAAGTGAAGCAACAGACTCATACTTATATATGGAACTAGCAATCCCAGCCTAAGAAAATTTCACTACATTATGTAAGGTTATGCAAAATTAATTAATTGATTTTCATAACCCGGCCAAAATTTGAAAACTTGGAAAAAAAATTTTTATATGTTTTAATAACTAAGTAGAGTTTAAAAAAAAATTTATAAAATTGGTTGTGAATTTTTTAAAAAAAGCTCACCTCGAATAAAATTAGTAATCATCATTTAAAAAAATGAAGAAGATTCTTTTCAAAGTTCCATAATTGATCTCATTGGTGTTCTTAATATAATATATTGAAGCCTAACCGTAAATACTATAAATAATTTTTGTTTTTTTTTACTACGTAAAAGTGTTTCAAAATCATTGAAGTTTAATAAAAACAAAAATGTTTGATACGTATGTCATGTTAACGTTAATGTTAAAATATCCAAATTTAATATTATTCAATTTATATTACTTATTTGCTTTTTGAAAAGATTACAAATTACACATAATATATTCACGATAGATTTAGATTATACATGAACGTATCGATTATTTATCGATTTTTATTAACATCCGTAAAAAAAAAAACAAAGAAGATACGTAAAATTGATGCATAGTTGAAATTAATTATTTCTCGATTCATGATTAAGGTTAGACTAAATCGATACGTACGTACTGTACGTACAAATTTTATTTATGCATATGTAATAATATTTATTTTTTTAAAAAAAAATAATAATTTATGAATCATTATGAATCAGATACGTATGTATAAATAAACATTATCTTTTTTAACGAAGAATAAGAATATTAAGCATGACTTTGCAGTATGCGGGAAAAAATATTGACAACAAAGAAAAATTTTTGATACTTAATTAGGGGAATAGAGACGGAAAGAGATTGTTTTTTTTGAAATATATTCATGACGAGAATGCGATAATGCGAGGATGCGATAATGCGAGAATGCTTGAATACCAATAATAATAATAATGATAATAAAGAATTTAAAGTTATATATTTTATCTATAGAAAAGGATAAAAAAAAGCAGGGATGAAAAAAACGCCATTTTTTTACAAATTTGGAGATGAATATAAAACCTATAAACGTAAAAATAATAAACAACATGTGATATATAAGTTTCAACCATGATAACGTGATAAATTTATATATCGATATGATATATATATATATATCGATATATGAAATTATATAAAATTTAAACGTTTAAAGTTAGTCGAAAAGATGTACACGTTATAATAATGCACATTATTGATAGAGCATGCACAGTATTCCCAAGATTCTCAAGATTCCCAGGGTTTCCAAGAATTTAAATCAGATCGAACCTAAAACAATTATACATATTCACAAGAGTACTATCACAAAAAGCATTATATAACAAGCACAAGAAGAGATCAACCAAGTAATAATAAAGTATCAAACAAGATAACAACAAGGTATCAAACAAGCTTAATCGGATAAAAGTAATAAAGGATACGGGGAGATTAACCTAATATTAAAGTTTAAAGAATAATTAAGAATCAATTTTTTGTACGTATAATCATATGTAAAGACTATTATTTAAAGATTATTTTGTACGTACGTACATACCGATACGTACGTAAAAGTATTATCTAGATTTGTGTAACAGGTAGGAAGATAAATCGAAAGTGTTACTTACCCACGAAATGATTTCCCTTGAAAGAATTAAGTACCCATGAAATGATGATCGTCGATCCTAACGAAAACAATATAACCTTAACTACGCATTGTAAGTTATATAGTACTATTTGACTATGGTATTCGTTTGAAGAGAAGATCTTTTGCCATAAAAGAAGAACAATCGGAAATTGACAAGGGGGCACACACCATGAACGATATGAATGATATGAATGACGAAAATCAAGAAAATTTCCTTTGTACCAGGGAATTAATCATTTGTTAAAAAAAAAAGATTCCTAAAAAGACTTGACACTAATATATATATGGATATATATAACATTATCACTATCGTTATACGTACGTATATTAGTTATATATGGAGAATGATTGAAAAATACTTTTTTTAGAAAGTAAATTCAATACATACGTAGTACGTATAGTTGACAAGAAATTAACCAAATTTTTTTTTTTAATTATAATCAAGTTTTGAAGGAAACTCGGGGCATCAAGTTCGGGAACTAGTACGTACCTTGACCGTGTGATGTGAACCTCAAAAGGAGTATTGTTGAAAAACAAGAACAACTACACGAAAGGAATTACACAATATTATTTTAGGGACGGTTGCAAAAAGTACAATTGTTTGAAATGTATCACAATTGAAAGTTTGTGATACAGGAAAAGAAAGACGGTACGGTACGTACGTAAATAAGTTATAATGATAATGAATAGTATATAATAAATAGTAAATTTATACATATGAGTAAATTGATACATAATGTAGTTCATCATAAAGATTTTCTTGTTTTCTGAATCAGATTTGGAAGTTTGTTTTTTTTTCAAAACCGAACTTTGTTTTTTTTTTGAAACAGATTTGAGATTTACTTTATTATTAACAATTAAAAGAAGATAAAGAGAGAACGGGTAAATCATCATCCGATGCACCAAATTAGAAATGAAATCAATTCTACATAGGTAGTAAGCGCTGAAGTAGGTAGGGTAGGGTAAGCACGTATCAGAATCTATCAAAATCCATCAGAATCCATCAGTATATACTAGTGTAGATAATAGTGGTCATAGCAACTAACATCAATTTTTTAAATCAAAAAAACTTTAATAAGCATGGGTATTTATTGGAAACTATTCCGGATATGCTTAGCAAAGGACAGTTTTGTAGGGCAGAAACGGGCAGATGATTTACATTATGTAATGCGTATTAATGGAATTTCCGACAACAGTTAAGAGGATTCCTACAAGTATCGGAGCAATAAGTACGATAAATTTGCATTTTCCGGAGTAAGATAAAAATATACTAGTTTATTTAACATTTTTAATTATTAAATATTAATATTATATTAATGTTAAACATTTTAAACGTGTACACTTTATGCAAAATGTATACAGCAAAAATGGTATACATGATATACAGTAAAAAAATGAATGTGTCAACAAAAGGAAAAAAAAATCATTCGTTACATATAAAGTCTTAAGTAAATTTATTACATATGTAAGTTATGTAATTTACTAATTTACTAATTATAGAATTATTATTGAAACATGTTTCTACATTTCTACGTTTCTACGTACGTACATGTCTTTGATATGTAAAATATAACGACAAAATACGTATGTAGTATCCTATCAAGTTAATGGAATTATTACATAACATTGATCAGAATATTAATAAAATATTATATAATTAATTAATCATTTTTTTGTTTACTCACCAATCCAAAGATAGATTCGTTGAATATTAAATTTCACATGGAATTAAGACTCTTCAATTGTTAGAAAATAAATATCAAATATAAAAAAGGTTAAATTCCTAAGGTCAGATAATTAATAACAAGTAGAACAAAATAAATTTGGAAGGTTAAAAATCTCTACGTACGTACTTACCGTTACGTTACGTTACGTTACGTACGTAGCAGTAGTAAAACTGTGACGTACGTACGTTCGGAATATCAATATGATATAATTTTATATTTATATTATAGTAATATAATATATAATATATAAGATATAATATATATAAGAGATATATATAAGATATATATATATATATAAGATATAAGATACGTATACGTAATGTATAAGATATATACAATATATAAGGTATAATGTATAATGTCAAATATGTATAATGGACTTCATTTCCCGCCTAAGATTATAAATGATTTGTAAACGATTGTAAAAATAGTAAATTGGTGGACTGTGCCATACGTGTGGGGTAAATAGTTCAAAAGTCATGTGCTTATTATGTTGAATATTACGTTGGGGTGAAATATTTTGTACATATCTGATATGAACTAATTTTTTTTTTAAACATAATTCCGAAACAAAGCCCAATATTAATACTAAAATATATAATGATGTTTAAAACTTTTCATCATTTGATATTATAAAAATTTTTACATATTGTTCGTAAAAATTCTTTTTAGAAAAAAAAAATTTTTATTCAAATGAATATTATGACTGAATTCATCAGCTTGCTTACTTATCATCTACTATACATGCATGCGGTATATACGTACGTACGTGGATACGTGGAATTCTGTGAACACTGTACGTATAAATCCCGTATAAGTGTTGTACGTATAATGCTAGATGCTGTATAAGTTGTATATATGCTATATATATGCTATATATATATGCTATATATGCTATACATGCTATATATGCTATATAAATATGATATGTATAATAGAACGTATAAAGGCAGATAGAATGGTTGGTGGGAAAAAAACTTTTCAGAATAGAATAAAATAAATAAATAATAAATAAAATTTTTCGTAAAAGTTCAATCACGAGAACAATTTAGTCGAAACACAAAATCTAATAGAATTCAATATATAGTCAAGACATAGTCGAATCATCTACTAAACCAAGGTAATACACGATTTAAAAAATAAACGATTGTAAATTCAACGAGGAAAATCTCTTCCATTTAAAATAAAGACCCTTACATATCTTGGTTAAAAATTTAGGTATTTAGGCGTAGTAAATATTTTCTACGTAAGCATCACGCCACGTATTTTGATTTTGTTTCCGCAGTAAGGTATGCGGATGTCGGTTGTTAAGAAAATTCATAACATAACACATAACATAACACATAACATCGGTGTGTTAGAGATCAGTCAAATGTAAATAAATGTAAATGTGTAAAGAAAATACTTTGTAGAAAAACTTATATAAAACATATGTAATAAATTATATAAGGAAAGGATTAATTCTTTCATCTTTCCTTTACAATAAACCTTTGTATATAGTCTTGTATATAGTCTTGTATAAAAATATTTAGTGCTACACTAGTATATCGATATTATTTGTATTGTAAGTCATAATATAGTAATGTCGATATAGTGTATATAGTGTATTATAAAGTTATATGTGTAATATAGTAATATAAAAAAAATTTTTTTTCTTTTTTTTTTTTTTATATGCTATAAAATAAATTACTATATTGATTATACTGTACTGTACTGTAAAAAAATTTTTATATGCTAATGAATAGTTGACGTTAAAGAGTTGACGTTATTGGTTAATCTTTTCAGAAACTATATATAAGGCGCTCATTTCTTCCTCGCTTTTAAACGAGTATTCACTTTCTTTCCTAATCATCATAAGAGTTAATAAGGAATAATTTTTTTAACGATAATACTTATTTATTTATTAAAAAAAAATAATAACGATACCTTTTGAAAAAAATACTTGTTTTTTTTCAAGTCTATTCATTATATATCCTTTCGTTTTATTCTTATGCCATCTTTTGGAAACGCTCGCAAAATGTCTGCAACAATCGTCGACCCTAATGTAAGCCTCTCCTCTTGGCCAAAAAAGACTCGCAAATCAACAGTAAAACCATGCCCTATCTATACCAAGAATATCATATCATCATCAAATGGTAGCTCCCCTAATCGAGAAATTGTATCTCCTTTGCCTTCAGGGCATCTTGAGACTGGAACTCGATTTTGGCAATTTAAAGTTGAAGAAGGTTTAATTACTTATGTACGGTATGGTAACATCCGTCCTGATGGTAATCTCATGGAACGTGCCATACATATTCAACAACATTCAAGTTACCTTGATGCTAAAAAATTCGTCGAAAACATAGTCGACGAAAAAATTAAAGCCGGTTATGTTGGTTGGTCGCGTTGGTAATTGAATGGTCTCTTTCATTACCTTATAATCATCATATAATCTGATTCGAACCTCCGGTGAACGCGTTCGGCTTTGTAACTCTCTTCACTTTCAATATTGAAAGTGAATAAATATTCACATATGATGCCTCGTTATATTTAAACGAAGGCAACATTAGCTCTTTTATTTTTTAAGGGCCTTTTTTTTTTTTTTACTTTTTTCATGAAAGAACAAAATCATGAAATTAATTTTATTATACTGAGGGAGGAATACTTTACGGCATCATGAACAACACAACACAACATAATGCAACACAATATGGTATTAATAAATAAATAAAAAAAAACAAAAAAAAGAAAAACAAAAAAAAAAATTTAAAACAAAAAAACAAAAAAAAAAATTTAAATCGAACATTTATGCTACTGTAGTTAATTAACATTAAAGTAATCTTTAATTATAATACATGCACTTATATATTTCCTCCTATAAATACATGAACATTATACCATGAACATGATCATTAAAACATGACATGATCATTAAAACATGAAAACATGAAACATGAATCTGTTGATTCATTACTAATATCGATCGATATATATAAATATGTAAAGAACACACTTTTTTTTTTTATGTAGATATATATTTCTTGTTCCTCCATTATTATTTTTATTATTTTTATTATTTTTTATTGTTCTTATTATTTGATGTTGTTTTTTTTTACTTTGTAAATAAATAAATAAATAAAATGTACGTACGTTCAAAATTTATTTCATTGCATTATATTATTAAAAAAATTATGTATAATTCATTTCGTCTTTTTTCATGCGAGATAAATTATTAATTCCAATAATGAATCGAGTATCGAGTATAGAAACACAAAGTTGTGTGTAATGATCTTAAAAGTCGCGTATATCTATTTCGGGCTTCTTTGACGTTTTAAGTACTGCCTTTTTTTCGATAAATCTAATCTGAAACCGAATAGAACGAGAAGATATGGATTTGATTGAATTAGATTGAATAGGATTTAATAGGACTGAACTACCTTAACTATATATTTTAGCGCATGATTGTTTAATAGTTATAAATACAGTTATTATTTATCAACCAATCAGGAAAATTTTATTCTCCGCGTTATCTAAATTTATATCTAAATTATAATTTTTTATGTTATAGATAAGGTGGATTACGCGACCAATTTCGTGATTCGGTTATAAAGTTTGTTCGGAAACAAACCAATTCAGCCCATCTCATGCTAAAAAGAATTTTTTTCAAGAATGGTAATCCTTCTTTATCAGGTTTGTCATAATATCCAAAATCATTTCGACTCATTCTAACATCCAATGACAACCTACTTCTTAGTACTTCGTAACACTAAGACTACTTTAATGTAACAACATTTCCTTACTTTGTGTACTATTTTCTTAACGATTGTCATTGTACCCTACCTACCTACACACATACACATATACACACATACACATATACACACATACATACATACATACATACATGAAAGGATTTTGCTAATTCATCATGTAACAGTACCACCTGACCTTTAAAAAAAAAACATTCTCGAGAAACTTTAGGAACTTGAGACACACAGCAATCATGTTATTCTGCACCATTCAGAAACTCTCCCATATATAACATATATAATCATTACATAATTTTTTTATATCATTATTCCGTAATTTATTAAATATCAATCGAGTTTAACTCGCATTTATTTTTCAGCATCAATCATTTGTTAAATGCAGCTTTTTTTTTTTGCCTTGGAGCTGTATTAAGAATGGCAAAAGTATTTATCTGATTTAATAATTAAATTTACTGATTAATATCGATAAAATTATAATTATCTCGCTTTTATGACTTTTATGTACTGTACTTTTGTACATAAACTTTGTTACCGCATACACATAGAATATACATAGAATATACATAGAATATACACAGAATATATATAGAATATACACAGAATATATATAGAATCTATATAGAATATATATAGAATATATATAGAATCTATATAGAATATATATATAACATATATATATATATTATATTATATATTATATATTATATGTATTATTAATAATATTATAATTAACATTATAATAAGATTACTTATCGTTATACATACGTACGTAGAACTTTTCACCAATTTTAATACTCACATGTAACTTCAACAATGTCGTAACTTAAATTAGATTTTTACACAAAGAGGGTTTGTTAAACAAAGTACAAGTAAATATTTTCTCACGATTTTTATTATTCAACTTTGGATCTGTCTTTGATGTGACTAATAAATGCTATTAAAAAATCGGCGTTTTACCAATTGATCAAATGATCATTTTTTCAAAAAGAAAAAATTGCTCGCGTATTAATCTCCGCTTGAAAGGCCGACCCTACCAAAAAGCGTTATGATGCATGTCTATCATGTATTTACCCCTTCTCAGGGACATTATCGATATAGTCAAAAATATCGATTTATCAGTTATATCGATTTACAAAGATTAGCCAATCAGAATGCACTATTTGGTGTAACACAATTTAACGTGATCTGTAATGTAACTTTTGACCGTTAAATTTGTGTTGTTTGGCCCAAATTATACACTTAATTTTGCCCAAAGTGGTATGGTTACACCACATCAAAAATGTCTAAAAATATCGATTTACATAAATCGATATTTTTCATTGTCCCTGCCCCTTCTTTATGTACAAAGAAAGAAGGTTTCAGACCTGGGGTAAACAAAGATCATTATAATTTTCTCTTTCTCTATCTTTACCCTTATTTTTAATTTATATTAATCTACTCGCAATCTTTTCAATTTTCATGAAATAATTTGTCTATCTCTCCCTATCATTACTTTATCGTTACTTTATCACTGCATTGCTACAGTATTACTTTTCATTGACATTATCGATTACCCTTATCAACCAACTATATGTATACTCTAAATTTTTTGTAGTCTAACCAAATGTTAATTTTTTAACCGAGTTTATCAAAAAAGTGACCTTGATTCTGGTTTCACGAATGCATCCCATTATTTTTTCTATGTTTGGTCAAGTGGTATAACATTTTTTTTATTTTATTTTCAATGGATGGTTTAACTTACCGATTTATCAATTATGTATACCCAAGGTTTTTACTTGACATGTTTTATATGTACTTTATTATTTATATATGTAAAAACAATTTTCTATTTGCAGTTTTCAACCGTATCTTACCGTAATTTGCTGCTGTAATTTACTGCATGTACATTTTATATCGTTATTATAAAAATATCTTTAGTCACTTTATACGTACGTATGAACTTTTTTTTTTTTTTCAAACTTACTTTTTTACTTCATTCAAAAAAAAAAAAAAAAAAAACTTTCTCACATGTTGGATCATTTACCTTTTTGTAAAAAAAAGCCGTCTAATCATATTTTCTAGTTGTGATTTACACAAAAAATAACCAAAAAAAAAAAAAGTGTGGCTAAAGAAATTTGTGAATTTAGTAAAATGGCTTGAAGACGGCGCACACCGTAGATTATTCGTTACATATTGATCATCATATCAATAAACTATATTTGTTTCTTTAATTTATTATATGTACAGTACGTAGGTAAATTACATTAATAATTATTATTAAGAGATCAACAACTAGTTCTTTTATAATATTTTCCAACTCATTTGATTCGACTTTTGTTGGTTTAAACTTTAAAAATTAATTATATTTCTACCTCTATTACTATGCAAGTGATAAGTACTGTAAAAAAGAATTCATTTTTTTCTAAAACAATTATTATTATTATTTTTTTTAAAAAAAACATAATATTAAAAAATATATATATAAAACTTGATTTTTTAGATATTTTATATACGTACGACCGACGTACTTTTTTATGTATAGATAAAAGAAATAATTAGCCAACTTACTACATCAATAAGCAACACAAAAAAATGATTAAATTTTTCAATCAAAAAAAAATATTTATTACCGCATCGTCGCGAAAAAATACAAAAAAAAACTTGTTTTTTTCTAGATAGTTTATGTGTACTGACGTATATCTGATATATATAAAAGAAATAATTAGCCCACTTATTACAAATTATATATCTTCTACGTAATCAAAAAATCATTTTTTTTTACCGTATCGTCGCGAAATAACGCCTTACCTTAGTGTTGTTATCTTGAGTCACAATTTCAGATGATTTAAAAATCTTTCATCTAAAATTAATTCTTGCTTCTCTGAAAATTAAGTGTCTCGAAAATAACGCCCTCTCCAGAGGGGGGCGTTATTTCACGAAAGTACGATATTATACATATTGTTATAAGTAAAAATTTTCATTACATATTGTCAATAGTGTTATTTTGTACTTATGATTGTCTCGAAAATCTACCAATGCTAACTCTGATCAGGGTTGTAAAATTACTGATACGTATGTTACCCAGTAAATCACTTTAAAGTTAAACCATTTGGTCTTAATGCTAGCAAAAATTAATTGTATTACTTGTTATTAAATTTTATACGTACGTAATAAATTGTCAGCAGACTTGTTTCATAGTTATAACCAATGCTTAAAATTCAAATTTAAAAAATATGTTTACAAAAAAGTTTAATTAAAATTATTAGTGTTCTCAACATTTTAATATTCACTATAGTGTTCCTAAAGTGTTGTTAATTTTAGTAACCCAAACTAAAAATCTAGACCAAAGATCCTTTATACCAACTTTAGTCAAATTAAAATCATTGCTATATTACTTAATTTTATAAAATACATAGTTTTTTAGCATCATAAAGTATATACGTAATATGAACCAAAATACAACTAATTTTATTTTAAGTTAGATTCGGATTGATCTCGACTCAAATAACTCTTTTGATGTATTAGTTTATTATATTGAATAATTTTTTTAAATCTATTTTAAAAGAATAAAATCTTTTTCAAATAAGTAAACTTTATTTTAAATATTAGTTTTCTTAAGAAAAAAATAAATATTCTTTAAAGGTAGAGGATAATATATTGAAATTATATATAAACTCAATGGTAAAATTTTTTTATATTTAATTATATAAAAAATTATATTAAGTAAACTAATATTAATTTATAAGAAAAGTTTGTAGAGCAGGTCTTTCTAATTTTAATGA